ATTCAAAATCATCAGCCAGAACAAACCTTTGATCCCGTAAGCTGTTTTTCTCATGTATTTGGTAACAGTGATGCATAGATGACTAACATAATGGGAGATGGGAAACTTGGAAGAGAAGAGAAGAAAAAAGCAGTTATGTAGTTAGTGCTAAAGCTTTTTCCGTCTTAAACGAAGGAGATACCTCTTTCCTCTGGCATTTGCTTGCTTGTCTGAGTCACTCCAAGGAAACTTGTCTTAGCAGAGGAATACCTAACTCATCCTTTTATAAGCTCTATTAGATCCCACATGATGTGTTCTCCTCCTAACCAACTTCAGGGCCACCAACTATGTACCCTGCATAGTTTCATGGCATACTCATTCAAGTGCTTTGCTATTCTGAGGGTCACACTCTTCTCAGGGTCACAGTGTACTCTGTTGCTTTAAAATATCAACCAACAGATGTTTATGTAGAGTTTTACTCCATAGTGTTCTGTGTATACCAGCACTGCAAGGCACAAAGGCATTTAAAGTATAACTTAAGATGTCGAGAGTTTACATCCTGGTTGAGAAAACATGAGAGACACATGGCCCAATTCCTAAATAAGGACTACTTATAATAGCAGGATGATAATATGTCAAGCTAATTTTTATGATGAATTGTGAGGAATATATAATTAGAGTCTATAATATGTGTTTAGTAAAGGAAATTAGATACCTGTGTGTCTCTTTATGTTTTCCTTGTTTGCCATATAACAATGAATGTCCATTATTTAACTATTATTTTTTACTTTATAGCTAGAATCCTTTTTAACAAATGCAATTTTAGAAGCCAGTTCTATGTAATAAAAATATTTTTTCTTCTTCTGGCCCAAAGCCCATACTAACAGTCTTTTGCTGATGGAGATCCAAGACTCTTTTTGAAGGAAAACCCCACTACAAGAAAGATATTCACAAATCACTGTTCATTTGGCAATAAATCTGCTTAACAAAAAGGTTATCCTTTTCAGCAGACTATTAACATAAATTTCATGTTTGCATATCTGTACAATTATAGCTCTTAATAAATAACTTAACGGTTATTAATAAATAGCTCTTAATAAAAGCTGGTTTTTTAAATGCTGCATTGACTTGAGGCTTTTAAATATCTCCTAGCGAGGGTATTTGTTCATCTCTGATCAGTTCTGGTAGAGGACTGTGGAATCTCTCCACAGGTCCTGCCATGCTAGCAAAGGAAACAGAATAGATCGCTCATATCCTGCTAGTGCTTCCCTTGCATCTACCCACTGTTCATGCTAACAAAAGGAAACATTCATAGCCCCAGTGTCCAAAAGCTACTTTTCACTTGTTTTTGACAAAGTTTTAGTAATTATATTAGAACATGGAATGCCTAGGTAAATTTTGGAGAAATTGCAACATGTGAAACAAAAATAGTTCTAAGTCTACTCTGTCTCTAGTACAGGAGACTAACTTGAGACAGCCAAGTCGTCTGGGTTTACATGAATACTTTCTTGCCTTAGGAGAGGACCATGTAAGTGTTTGGGTTAAGACGCCCTCCTGCTAGGCTTCAAATTAGGTGAGACTGGTAAAGTAAATAAAAGGTAATGGATTGTGTCCATACATGACTTCATTCTGTCCTTTGAATGCCTTTATCGATAACTACTCGGGGCAAGGCTCAGCAATAACCCTCTGTAATATATGCCCCCAGGTAATAGAAAGCTGACCATATTCCCTAAGGTGTTGGAGGTGTAACAGACTAAAACACTTTTCCTTTACCACTGAATACATACAGGGCAATTTTCTTCAGATGATTAACATTATTTTCTCTCAGTGCACGCTAATTATATTCAAAGTTCTTGAGCTGTTTTTAAACAAACTCACCCACCCTCTACTGACCAGTGTGTTTAATAGGATTGTGTACATACTTGCATTCCTCTCACCAGTAATCAACAGTTCCTTCTCTATAGTGAACTTCTTTTGCTCCCCTGTGAATTTAATATTTAAGTCTCTATTCAACTCCGTATGGGACCAATATAAATGATGAGTTGCTTTTGACAGCATTTACGAAAACCTAATTTGTGCTGTGTGTGTTTGTGTGTGTGTGTGTGTGTGTGTGTTTAATTCCCATTTTTAAAACTGCTACCAGTTTGTGGAAGTTTGAAACTTGCAGTTACCTTGGAATATTAAAAGTCAGAAATTATATTTGTGTAGCATCATTTATTTACGTAGTCGTCTGAATTACACCTGGGAAATGACTTGCTATTCTTTATTGATTGGAATATGCTGCTTTTCCTAGCATCTCGCTGCCCCCTGCTGAAGCAGGCCATGCACATCTTTCTCTGCAAGCATCCTCCGTTTGCATTATGACTCTCTGGGCCAGTCCATGCTTGGTTGGGTCCTGGCAATGTGATCAGATATTAAACTCTAACAATGTCCTCCAGGGGCCTCTTCTCTGCACAGGTCCCATTTCTGGAGCAGATGTTTTATGGGTAAGAGAGTATAGACAGGGCCCCAACTGGGTGCTAAACCCCTTCAAATGGAGAGAGGTAGCCCAGATACCCAATGCATCTCATAGAGAACTCTGAAAAACTACTCTAGCTTAGGATAACTGTTTCCAGATAAGCTCTGAGATCCCACAAGTTGTAGTGTAGCACTTTGAATTGGAGAATAATCTGATGTTAAGATTAATTATGGACAAAGGAGTAAAACCACTGGACTGAGAGAGTGGGGAAGGGGACGAGGGAAAGGAAAGGAGAAGGAGATGGGGAGGGAGAGACAGAGGACTTTGGGGGAATTTTTGTAGCATCTGATCCTTTATGAAACTAGTATTTAAAAAACTTTAATTTTTAAGATACGGTGTTTTAAAGTTTTAATATATACTCTATTTTTGAAGTCTCTAAAATTTTTAATGTTTAATATCAATTTTCATCTGGTAGTAATACAGCACAGATAGTAATATGGTAGACAGTTATATTCAATTTAAGGATTAGGAAAAGACATTCTTTCTTTCAAAATTGTCCTGAAATTTTCACAAAGTTCTAAGCCTTGTTCGTAGTTTCTGTGAGGTTCTACCAAAATTACATGGAATGATGTGTTCAATTTTATCAGGCCTCTGCTTTTCCATTTATAAAGTATTAGTGCACGTATTTCATGGAGTTACAGAGGAATGCAATGGGATAGCATTCACCTGGGGCAGGGAAGAACCACAGTGATTGCTCCTCCGTCCCCTCCCTCTCTTTTTTATCTGAAATGGTCAACACCTGCCTTAGACATTAGCTATGAATGGCTGGGTGGATGATGGACTATCGTACCCTGTTTCCAAATTGTCTCCAAAGGAGCAGAGGCAGCCTTTTCTTCTCAACATTAGCTTTCAAATACCGGCAAAGAAACTTGCAATGGGTTAAGTGGGTAGAGATGATCATCAAAGTTCTTTAAAACGTATGTCATGAACTGTAATGTATTGCCTGCCCTGGAACCATGTATACTTTACTATGAAACGGAAAGAGATTTTCTCCTTTAATGACATCTGCAGATGCAGACGAGAGGTAAGGAAGGCATCCAGTACAGGAAAGGTCATTTTGTGATCATGGAATTTTTCTCTAAATAATATACCATAAATATCGTACTTACTTTTTAGAACTGGAACGTTTAAAAAACAGATATTCTGTATTTCTATTGCATACGAACAAACAAAAAGAATGTCAAACCCAATAGCAAAATTTATAACATGTAAGGTCATACCTATCTTTGTGCATACATGCAGTATATACAATATACACTTTGTAAGGCTTTGTGCTTTTACATGTGGTTTCATTTTAGCAGTGGCACTGAAAATTGGATGATTCTTGTTAGGTAGTTAGTAAGTTTCCATAGAGAAAAATAAGAATTTGAGGACAATCACTATTTGAGGATAAAAAAAGAATTTGTACTAGGTCTTCCCCTACTTATACTCTAGTTCTGGCATCAGCCTGATTATGCTGGACGGCTCCAGAGGGAGAAACACACAAAATTATGTATTTCCCTGAATTTATATGACCTTTTCAAATATTTTTAGACATTGTTTTGGCATCCACCAAGAGCAGGTTTTACTCTATTTAAATCAAATCTCTAGAGAGAAGCTATAGAGAAGCTCAGATATTTCCTGTCAAGACTTTCACTTAATAAATGGAGAAACTGAGGCCCAGAGAGGTCATGTGGTTAGAGTGCCTACCCCTCTTTCCCTGTCTTTCCTAATGTCTCTGTCACCTGTGCGTGTTCCATCTCCCTGTAGGACTATTGGTGTTCAAACGCACACATAGGCCTCTTTCCAGCAGCCCACAGTGGGTAATCCACAGGGCTCCACTCTTAATCTCCCAAGGAGCCTCTTCTTCCCAACAGAATTGATAGCAAACACAGGGAAAGGAATTACTAATGAGATCGCTGTCATTTGTAACTTATTTCTTCAAATTACTCATGTCCAAATGTAACATTTTACCCCTTTTCCTAGAAATGGAAAGAACTGCATTGTGAATTAGCAATCATATTCTTGTGTTATATTTGAAGGAAAAGATGTATTCCAGTTCTCATTTGGCAATTCATTCAATGTTACCCAACATTTAACAGTTTTGAGCTCCTCCTATATCCCTCACAGTACAGTAGAATGTAGCAGGGAACAAAACAAAGATTGCTACTTTTGAAACTAGATTTTAATATAAATTTGTAACATAGAAACGACCTACTACTACTTTACAACCACAGAATCCTTCTTGGACAGTGTCATAGTGAAAAGTATCATTTTTGGTAATTACTTTCCTTAAAAGACCTACTTTCTCGAGAATTTTTTTAAGTAGTATGAAATTTGGCATAAGACTGCCGCCTTGTGGCTGTTTCAAAGACTCTTATTACTACAAAATTAACCCTGTCTAGGTAAAATTTACAGAAAAGCAGAGGGTTCCGCAGCTAAAAATTATTTTGGAAATAATTTGCACACAAAATTAACTCAACTGCGAACATTTAGTGTCTAATTCCAGTTGGTTTTGTGACAGGATGATTGGAACGCCTCGGTCGCTTTTGTGGTCGGCAACCGGATGGAGGATGATCTTCTCATTCAAGCCCTCACCTTGGCAGTTCAAGTCCCTCAGCGCAAACTCTTCAGCATAGTTTCATGGCAAGACGTTGTCCAGCAGGTACCTGTGCTTTCTTTCTTAGTGCCTCTCAAAAACCTTTTTAAATATTAAAATTATTTTTAAAAAATACTTACATATTCTTGGGCTGTTTTATAAATTTTGACTCTACTTCAAAAACTATTTAGCAAGAATGAATTTGAGTTGCTTAGTTTGTCAGAAGACATTTTTGTTCAATCAGGTCATTCATTCAACATTCACTCATTTGACAGAGATTTCTGTGGCCAGTTCCAGGCAACCTGCTAGATTCTGTGAGGATTTAATTTAAAAGTTAAACAATGATAAAAGGCTAGAGTAAATAAGGTTCCCAGAAAGTACAGGACTAGTAGAAAAATCAAGTCTAAGGAGAATCGTAGCGGTTGGGGCCAGTGGGGATGATAACCTAGAGAAGGTGTCAGATGGCACAAACTCACACAAGTGCTAACAGCTAACAGGGTGGCTAGAAATATTCCCCCTCACAGATGCATACCACTTCCTTACTAGTATCCCCAACCGCTTACATCACCGAGGTATTTGAAAGTTACATGTAGCTAAGTGTTCCCTTAACAGAGCCCTTTTTTGCCATAAGATGTAAATTTAACTTTCTTACAGATCAATGAAGTAAGTGTGTCTGCCCGAACTGCTTCATCTAAAAAGGCAAAGAAACCTGCAGGCAGTAATCCTCCATTATTTTATGAGGTAGGAGAGAGTGTTTATTGAAGAGATTTTTGTAAGTTTTAGAAATGAGACCTCGAGTGATAATGTGGTTGACCTTTTATGTATTTCAGTTTTGAAAGTAAATTTCCTATTTCTTATTGAAGATGTGTTATTCCTGATGGTAGATGGCACACACACACACACACACACACACACACACACACACACACACAATCTACCTCCTTTTAAGCAAAATCCTGCATTAGTTATAAAATCATCTTACATTGTTTGTACTATCATTGAAACCAGTTGAAAACTATAAATCAGAAAGTGTTGTAGAAAAATGTAAGCTCATATATTTTCATGCTAATTATTAAGTATGTGATGGTATAAAAGGGAGTCCTTATTAGGGTATCACTAAGTGTTGATTTCATCGCAGAAATAAGAAAGAATTTCTTGTGTGAGACAGAGCCACAGCTGGAATAATTTTCCATCAGTTTACGGACTTTGAGAACATTTTATATCTGACTTTAATTGAAGTGAAAATAGTAACATTCTTCAATTTTAGCATATGTGTTGCGGAAGGGAGCACGACATTCCTCAGAGTAGTGGCCCATGCCGTTTCTAGAAGTTGCCTGATAAAAATTCTCACATGCACAAAAAACTTAGGACTCATGTCAGATGTAAGGGGATTTCTTCTCACCCTGTTTGTTAACATTTAGCTTACCTATTGCAAAAAAAAAAAAAAAAAAAAAAAAAAACCCTATAAATCTCTACTGATTAAGTAGAAGGTTGCAATTTGTCAGGAACTGTTTTATGGCTCCACAGACCTAAAACAAAGATTTTGGGATCTTTCTGAGACAAATGGGATAGTATTTTTTTTTTTTTTTTGGTGACTATTAGTTTTTATATGTCTCAGGTCTGGGATGATTCTATAATGATTTCATTAGTATGGCTTGAGTAGTGCTATCTGCACATGTTTGGTTGGATTCATTCACAATTGACAATACTGTGAATTTTATGTTATTAGTTCACATGATACTGTTCTTGCTACCATAGAAAACTCACTCTGTGCTGTCAGAGTCAAACAGCATTGTGTCCTTTGTCATGATGTTCTCAATGTGTATTCTCTAGTTGAAACATTATGTGATACCTGGATTTAAAATACTGGAATTTTTCTTCAGAGGTAGCCATAGAAATTCAAGTCCAATTTTCAGGCCTGGGATCAATTAGCTCCCCAAAGGATTCTTTCTTCTTCAAAGATGCTCAGTAAAAATCAGAGATGATAACAGGGCAGTTTGACGTTTAATCTGGACAGGCATTTTGACTTGGATGTGGGCTAGCACAATGCTACAAATCCGGAGTGAAGTTAGAAAGCCATTCTTCTTCAATATGTGCTGGGACTTTTGGTTGAATATTCTTCAACCTCAGGGGAGGTCCCTCTCACATCTGGTTTTACCACATTCTTCCAGTGGAGCATTCGGGCAATAAGCCTCCCACACCCACCCACATACCCTTTTCTGAGTAGTTCCAGAAGGAAAGGAAAGGCAGGGTGGAGCACCATGAAGCTTAGACCATGGATGCACCAGATATTCATTAATGTCGATCATCGTGGCAAAATGATAAAGAACACAAAGCAAATGCAGGCTCCTGGTTGGCATCAGCCAAAGACAGAGCGCACATCTGCAGAAGTGGGTCGCATTTCTCCTCGGTCTCTTCACACTGAGGACCTGTCCCAGAATGCTGTCTCCTGACATCTCACCCCAAGTGAATTGAAAACCCACTGGCAATGACGGTAGAGCACTAAGGTAGTTGAGAGCAGGGGCTATGGAAATCCAAGACCAAGTTCTCCTGAGACTTCTGGATTTTTCACACCATGTGAGACACTGTGTCCCTGAGCCGACTTCAGTTTAGTCTCACATGATCCACGCAACCAGGACACCTGCCACAGGTAAATTCAAAGGGAACTCTTGCATTTACTTTCTGGAGGAAACTCAAATGCAGGAAAACAGATATCTGACAAAATTGCTTGTTACATGGGATAATTTTAGAGTCCTGTTTCCTTTTTCCCTCCATTTTAGAGGGAGAACTCAATACATCATAAAGGAAGGCATGCACTTCAATACTTATATTTGCTTCCACTTGTAAAATGCTCTTTTGGCCCTAAATCATAGCCTAGCTGATCTATCTTAAAAAGCCATTAACCAGTTTGGCTTCCTGGTTTCCCAGCCTGTGGATTATTAGGAGCAACCAACTAGAGTGAGACTTCACTGTTGCACAGCTTCTCCATAACAAGTAAAATAGTGTTACTACCACGCTACACATTTTCAGGGAAGACTTGAGCAATCTAGGCTAGCAAAGACCACATTGCCTGAATGCTATGCTCAAAGTTTCATTTGAATGGCGTGGTGTTGTGTATGCATAGCCTCGTTTGAAACTATGTAATTTAGGCTGAAATCTTGGAATTTCATCTAGCCATGATGTTGTATGTGTAAGTCTTTATTCATAAGCTACAGATCGTTGAAAACCTACTTAGATTTACCCTAATTCCACAGAGATACCATTCCAACTTAGTTGTCCATTCACCTCCTCTTTTTGGAAACCATTTTTTGGTCCAGTAGGACCTGGTCCAAAGATACTCATAGAAATGCAAACAATATCTATTATTTTGCTGCTACATTAATTGACAATGGGGTTGAGGGTAATGACATGAACTGACATAAACACCAGTCCCAACATGTGGTACTATTTGAGAATATGAACATGGAAATATGTATATATCATTCACAATATGTTTTACCAACTGTTAATTAATGTTTTATCAATGATTAACTAATACATTTATGTTCAAGCACTATAAGTACAATGGAGACAAAGGAGAAAATACAAATACTTGTGTAGACTCTAGCCTTGAAAAGCTTACAGACTGGAGACCAAAAAAGAAACAAACATATATGCATCTAAAGTTGACACCTAGTAGGTGTTCAACAAATATTTGCCAAATAATGCAATACAGAAAACAGTGAAGTACTTGGGAAGAGATAAAGTGTTGTGGAAATTTAAAAGAGAATGAAATGAGGGTGAAACGGAAGGCGTGACCCAGAGATGAAGAAAATAGAGCTTCAGGTTTCCCATCTGATAGGCAAACCTTCACTTGAAGGAAAAGGATAGGGTGCCAAATAATTTTTGCTCCTTAAAATTATTGCCCTAGTTAATCCCATCACAGTTCTACAAGGGCATCTAACTGTTCTTTTTTGATGCACAAAATAATGGAGGTACATAAAAGGTAGGAAATTAGCAAACTAGAAAATTGAAATTAGAAATTGTAAGAACCTGAATTTCTTAAATACACAGTCTTGAGTTTTTCACGTTACCACAAACCCAGCAGTATTTCATCAGTGTCCACTCTTCCGGCCTCAGATGGTGGTTCTTGACATTCAACTGTTAGGAGGGGACAGCCTAAGGAGAGGGAGTAAATCCAGCAATGCTGTTGGAAGGAAGATGGCTGAATGAATGTGCATGGATGCTCAGTAAACATGGTGAATGTTTAAATTAAAAGGAAATTTATTATAGCCAAATAAATTAATTCATGAAGAGTCCTCAAAATATTCACCCTTGCTTTCAACATACTTATTTCTTCTTTCTTGCCATTTCTAAATCTTTTTTGAAGATGTTTTTTCACAAGGGTCTTTGTGAACTATGATCAAAAATGTGGTGGATGCTATTGCTGGGTGCCACCCAACTGAGAGGCAGGCTTATGAAAACAGTATGGTGTGTCCACATCTACCTTATTCACAGATCTGACACTGTTTATCTTTTGATTCATTTCCAAAGTCAGAATGACCATGAAGTGTTAATGTTTTGAATCAGCTGAGGTCAGCCAGGCAGCCATGACAGCACAACTAAAAATACTCACAAAAGAAGAATTCTAGAACTGCTTCAGAAAGTGGCAATAGCAATAGAATTACGGTGTTTTCAGAGTCAGAGGGTGAATTCTGAGACGGATTGATGACCATGTGCTTTTACTGCAATTTTTTAATTAAATGATCAACATATGTTTTGATCAAACCTTGTGTACTGGATTTGTTGTTCAACTTTACAATAGGAAAGATAAATCCTTGACATCCTTTAATTACAACTTCCAAATCCTAAATATGCTATCTATAAGAAAACATCTCAAATAACAAAAGTGTCCATGCTTTTTTTCATGATTGAACTTAAATTTACTTGCTTAGTTTGGACAGATATTTGTCTGTATACATGTATTTTCAGGCCCACTTTGGAAATTTGATCTTTCATTTGCGGGCATACTGAATCCTGATCATAATTAAAAGAGAAATTTTAATGATCATTCAAAACTGTCTGTATAAAAGCAATAAGTAAAAGACCTTCTGAACAAAATTGTCCCCTGAAGGATAAGGAGTTTATGCTTTACTAAAGCTGATGGCTACCTTATTTCAAAGAAGTTTCTCTACACTAAACAACTGAGAAGACCCTAAAGACTAAGTGATACGGTGCAATTGTAGGAATGGAAATGATTATTTATTTTCCTCTTGTCTCAGTAAAAAAAATAACTTTTTTCTACAAATATGTCTTATGGAAAATATTTCTACTGACTTTCTATCAAACAAAAGATCGATAAAAGTGGGAATATTTGTCTGTTACTAGATTTGAAATTAGTAGATCAATGCCATTTTAAAAGATTCATGATGCAAACATTATATCTTCAGGTCTTACTCATTCCATCACGCTTTACTGTTCTTCAGAACATTATATTGGCATACATTGGAGTAGTATGCCTGCATTCATTCCACTTTTGATTCTGATTTTGTGGATATGCATGCACACTGCTCAGGTGTTTCCCAACATATATTCACAGTAACTCACCACTAAGAACAGAGATGTGCTTATAATCTACCTTGCTGTTCCTTTCCAGATTCCTAATATGAGACTCAGTTCTTAAATGATGCCTCAAACTAACAGTCTGTTCAATTAAATTATAGGTCCTTATTTTGTGGGGGTGGTCCTTGTCAAAGTGAAAA